TGATGATGGACGATGGATATCGTCCGAAATATCTACTCAAGAAACTTCTAGTTATTCTTTTTGTCTATAAATTCTTAGCCCAAAGAAACTTTTTAGACAAATAATAAGCTTTTATCATGTAATTCCAAAACACGCAGGACCTAAGAATAATTCAATAGCTGGAAAAGAGCGTGTAAAATTAGTAAAGCTGCGAAGTTTGAAGGAAGTAAGTTTGAAAAATCACAAAAGCATTAATTTTCAAAAACCATAAAAACATTTGATGTTCAGGACATCTCTTATTGCCTCCAGCAAAGTTCGCAATTTCAAAAATCATATCATGATAACTTCGCGGCTTATATAATTCAAACTTCACAGTTTCACTGATTTTACACGCCTTTCTTCCATCTATGGTAGTTATTTTTACCTTGATGACTAATTTTAAACTATCTAATAAAAGCTTATTGCAAATGAATACTGAGTAGAAGGTAGCTAAGATGTATTGTTTAGATCATGTCAATTGTATTCAAATATTCTTTGAATTCCATGTCACCGTGGCCTCATTGGGCTATATACTTTCAGTAAGTTATAAATATACTTGCAGTACGTTTATGACTTTCACGTCAGGTTAGTCATTCACTTCAATCTTTCATGGTATGACATGTAAAATCAATTATTGAATTATGCTATTAACTGACGTACCATTTGCCTAATGAATGTCCTCAAACGAAGCCATCATATTCTAGGGAATGCCTCGTGGTTTGAAATCGGGGAAAGAACATTACAATATACACTTAGGTTAAATGAATATTTTCCAGAAAGGCAATAAAATAAAATAAAATAGAATAAAATAAAATGCACAAGCAAAAACAGATGACAGGTCAAACAAAATATGACGACTTCTTGTGCATATAAAGTAAGCAGCTGGGCTTGGTACGAGTGAAAAACGTTTGCGCATGCACGTGCGTTTCAGCACATTTTATTATCGTTTTTAAGAGCGTTTTAGTGCTATTTGTCATATAATTTATACTAAACATATTGCCAGTTATTGCGCAGTTGAAAAAGTGTTATTTTCGTAAGGACGTGGTCATTCGTAGTAGAGGAAGGAAATGCTATTCGTTTTCAGTAAATAAATTAACCCAAACTATCTGCTATCGTTACCTATTCGACTAATCGTACGTGCGAAAATTGGCCACAAGCATTTTCCTTCGCTGCACCCAAACTCTGGAACTCATGTCAAGCTAGCCCCGTCCGTCTCATCGCCATCTGATTCATGAACATTAACATCTTACCTAGATATAGTTCATTTATTTTTTCTTGGTTTTGTTGTTTTAGATTTTGTAAGCGCATGGAGATTTTTAAATGCGCTCATCAAGTACGTCCTATTTATTATTATTATTATTATTACTATTATTATTGTTATTGTGAAACTTTCCTTGCACTCTAGGCTTAAAGTAAAAGTTTTCCGCATTTGACTTCCAGAATTCATTCAACCTACAGGTCCGTCTTGAGAAAGTTTTTCAGTGTTTGTTTCTGGGCGTTAACTACATGCATTATTACGAAATAAATGACCAAAAATGAGGCATTAGTTTTCATAGCCGCCACTTCGATCGAATTTAACCAAGATGGCCGACCGTTGGCGGTTGCATTTGTCATATCAAGCCGCGAACTGACATGCTTGGCCAATGGTTCCCGTTTTCATTCTCGCACCACTTACATTTCTGCTTCATATTATTCCAGTGAATCTTACCTTTCTCGCCGTCTTCCTAAGGCTCTTTTTAGTTCATAACAGAATATTCTTGATCCTCAGTTCTATCGATTATAAATTACTCAATATTTGTTAAGCTCGAAACCTTATCGATATCACCAATCTGGCCGTCTAATTTCACACCATTGTTTTCATTGACATATCTACGTTAGCGATTCATATTTTTTTAACAATTATGAAAAAATATAAGTAGCGAAAGCGCCGGCGTAAAATTGAATTAGCAGAACAGCTGTAGACGATAACATCCGGCCTAGTTGTTTATTTTTTTATCCGATTTTAGTCAGAAATAATTACAATTCGAGGTAAAAATTGGAGTCATAAATTCATGAACATGATATCTAGCATGTCATTGGTCGGGTCTCTATATAATTCTAAAGCACTTCAATCGCGCTATTATAGCTTGACGAGATTTTGAAAATAGAGACGACAGATATTGAAACGGAGATCTTGACAGTGGAGCACGTAAAATAGAATAAAAAAGAAATAAAATAAAATAGAGACACAAACCTCTGTTCGAAGGGTAGCAATAAAGAACACTAGTTGGATGTTTATGAATAACAGCAACAGTCAATAAGCTTTTTTATCATTTTACCCGTATCTGCCTGGGCGCGCTCTCTTAAAAAAACCTTCGGAAAAATGGCGTGAGCAGGGCCGTACGGCTTTGAGCGAGCAGGGCCCTGCTCGAAACCTGCGACCGTATTGACATAATTTGCAACTTTTAAAAAATCTTTTTTATTCAGGGTCATATGATAAAATGCTTATTGACTGAGTTAGGTCGGGCCTTACGAGAAAATATTTGGCTCTCGGTCATTTGTACGGACATCGCTGCGCTCGGTCCGTACGGCATCACCTCGAGCCAAATATTTTCCCGTACGGCCCTCCCAATCAGTAAATAAGTACATGATAGGTAGATTAAGATTCCCGTTTTTCCTTCCCGCAAACGGCAAACGTGACCACGTTTTCACCGTTTTCCTACATTTAGCTTTACCTTTTGTAAACCTTCTCGACAAAGACAAGTAATATTTTTTTGTTTATCTACCACTTGGAGATTTTTGCGATTCCTTTTCACTAATTTTAAAGAACTTTTTAATGGTCAACTGACGTTTCACGTTTGCCGTAAACGAGAATCTTAACCTCTCCATAATACGTCATTCTAAGGGTCTCCAAAACTTACAGACAAGGCAGAATGAATAGTTAGCATAACTGGAAAGAGCTTGTTAAAATTGCTAAGAATGTGAAGTTTTATGTTAGTTCAAAAATTGAAATTTTGCATGAAAACATTAGTTGAAGGCATCACTTGCCTCCACGCTTTTCAAACTGAGTCTCACGGCGAGTTTTAAACGCAATTCCCTCAAACTTCACATTTTTACTGGTTTCAACATGTTTTTTTCCACTGAGCCGGCTATAATAATCCCTTTTTTTTATTAATTTAAAAAATCATTAACTCACGGATAAAAACTCATAGCGTTTTAAAAGACTGGAGGTAAAAATAAACAAGGAAGTAAAGGGTATTTGCTTTCACATATATTGGATATTGGATCTTTGGACGGGTGTATTTCACCTTCGACTTCCTAAGGAAGTTGTTTTAACCTGGGTCGCTTCGTTCAAGCTAGTATAGACTCGTATATTGTTTTTCCGGTACTTATGATGTGTAGTATAGTGTACTTGTTAAGTATTAGCAAGTAATATTTTTGAAACAGCTGCTCGTACTCTAGATTACAAGACATTTTAGCTATTTTATCAAATTATCATTCAACATGCATGTTTTAGATTTGAGCTGCAAAAAAAGACCTAAAGTGTTTTCATAAACACAACTCTRTTTGTTTCTCAATGGAAAACTCGATTTTTTTCAGGAGAAGCGGCTCCCGATGTCCTACTGAGACATAATCGGCCGAGTTAAAGTAAACAAATTTTATAACATCGTAAGTTAACGGATTTTTTCTCGGCTTTTAACGAATAACGCAAGCGAAGATGGATCAATAAAAGTTCGAAGCTTCAAAAGCTCCAATATTTATTTTAACTAAACGATATAATATTTTTTTCTTAAAAAATAACATGAACTCTTTGATGTCGGAAAAACAAACATTTCTCATCTCCTTTTTTGTTTATCAGACCTAAAATATTTCAAGTTCTATAAAAATATGATTAAACTATAAATTTCTTTTAGTTGCTTGGCAGCTTAACGGTAATTTATCTGATACTATGTTCAGGGAAAAAACTGTTCGCGATTTTCTTATTTCGATTACTTTTTGTAGTGTATTCCAAATGAATTCAATTTTCACAGCTGTGCAAAAAATAAATAAATTTTATGGAATTCAACAGTGGAAGGATTTTACCTTATAAACTCCTCATGTTTCAGGAAATGTCTCGTTTTACTTCGGGTACGTGCTGCAGTCGTCCACCTATCCCTGTTAATCAGTACCAAGGCCGATGTTGAAAACACAAAACATGAATGAGCATTGATTATAAATTGTGGAAACCGACAAGATCTAGTTTTCTGAACTATTGACTTAGACTTCTCGCTTACCTGCAAAGTGATTGGACCTTAATGCTCTGGCTTTCTCATTCTGTAAATATTGACTCTCAAAACTTAAGAGCCATTGGTATCATAGCATGGGGTTTGTCATCTGCTAAGCTGATTCTATGTCTTCTTTTGTTTAACAATTGTTGGTTTGCGCTTCACTTTTTCGTAACTCAGTTACTTTTTCGTTCATCAATACCTTATTTTTTTCAGTGAGGTTTTAGTTTGTTCCTATAATTCTTACTATTGACTACCGTTAGTGGATATGTGATAAACAAACGCGTTTCCTTAGATCAGAAGATCTCTCGACGTTTTAACTGTTTTTATACCAGTCGAATTGTAGATATTGATCTCATTTTAAGTTTGGCCGTTGCCGCTTGATATCTTTTAAATTTCGGATGTCGTCACGCATGCGATTACTTATTCAGGGCCCAGTTGTTCAAAGCCCGATTAGTGCTAATCCTGGGTTAACTCTTAATAAGACCTATAGAGTTAATCCTGGAATAGCGCTAATCCAGCTTTGAACAACCCGGCCCAGTTGATCAACAAGACTATCCCCACTCCGTTAGGCATTCCGTGAGGTCGAGRAAAAAACTGGGTCGAGTTCATTGCAGTGCATTGTGGAACTGTTTTAGGGGACAAAATAGACGCCATCTTGGAAATATTTCCTCTATAACAACCCCACAATGCACTGCGATGCAAATTCAACCCAACCACGGAACCGCTAATATTCGATCGAATACTTGCAAACATTGTTATTCTATTCTTCGCAAAAATTAAGTTCCTTACATTACCCATTTCAGACAATGTCTTTCCCTTCATTATAATTTCTTTGTCGAAAAGGTTGAAAGGTTAATAGATATACCTTGTAATACTAACCCATTTTAGGCCACTTCTCTGATTCCCTTCAATATCACTTTTTTCTCAATAAGCTTCTTATACAATCATGTGGCATGCTCTTTTTCATTGTCCCTGATTGACACTGATTAGGAATAAACTTTAAAAATTGTTATTTGTATAATTCATTATAATCACTTCATCTGAGATAAAATCATTAAGGATACAAAAGTCTAGCATTTTTAAGCTGGATTGTGGCCTTTTTGTCCGGCAAGGCGGTTCTCTTAATTCCCACTTTCGCCATCGCTATGCAATCTCCTTCCAAAGGCAAGAACTTTGTTTCCAATGAACATGGCATGCAAGATGACCAGATGTCTTAATTCATCGACCTGCGATCTCCTTCCAAAGGCAAACACTTTGTTTCCAATGACGATGGCATGCAAGAT